AACATGGAGGGATTACCAGTGCTATACATAGATTGCTCCTAGCTGTGTCCTCTTTGCTGGCAACACTTAAGAGCTCTGTCAACTTCAGGGCTGGGGATCCTGCATGCTGCTTCTCTGTTGTTTGCCCTCTGCAGAGAGCTTCTCTGCCAGTGCTCAGTGGGACAACACCAAAGCTGGAAGTGCCCAGAAGTTGGGTTTCCTCAGTGGGAAATCCATCAGAAAGGATGACTATAAGGGCTGGCTGCTGCTTCCCAGGATGGGAGTCAGAATGCATCTTGGAGTTAATTTCTTGGGTTTTTATCTGAACACAAGTTTATTTGTGAGGGTTTTTTTTTTAAGTGCATATTTAGCTCATCAGAGATTCGGCAGGGTGTTGGGTTGCGTGTCCGTGTGTGCACATGGAGATAAGAAGCCAAGGCATAATCCAGAATTCCTCTGCTCGATAGCCCTTTATCTTGGAGCATGGGCTGCGTGTGTTTTCTCTCTTGGTGGGTCCCCTTGGAGGTGCTGGCCATGTAAACACGGTTGCTGGGTTTAACGTTGAAGTTCTAGGAGGTTCTTGCTGTATTGGCTCCTGAAGTAGTGGAGAGGAAGCACTCAAAAGTGACCTCCTGGCTATGGATGTACCAATACGCAAACCCTCTCTAGCTTGTTAAGGAAATAACTGGTACTTCCAACAGGATATTTTCAGGTTCAGGCTTCAAATAGAAAGCTCTTTAGGAAGGATACTGCTGAAATTACAGCCTGTGCCACAGAACTCAAACATGTCGGATACTTTGATTTCTAATTGTCAGGTAGCATGTCAGTAAAGGTGTGTATAAGGTAGCTTGCAGTGCACATACAGACACTGCTGCTCAGTATTGGTATTTAGTTGCATTTGGCAACAACCATTCTGTGTAAACTACTTAAAATCCTTTGAATTCCAGTGGATCAGGCCGAAAGCAAGAAGTGTTAACCTAGGTGAAGCTGCTTAGCATAGGATATGTGACTCAATAGTTTTCTCATCAAAGCTAGCAGCCACTGAAACAATCTTGCGCAGCCTGTTGTTGAAGCGTGGATTGGCTGCGTGTGAAGAGCACTCAAACTAAAGTAAATGCATATAGATGTGTGTGTGTGTATATAAAAAAATAGTGCAGACTGCTCAAAAAGTGTTAAATCTTGCAGCATCCTCCAAGTACTGCAGTATTTAATAGAGAAGTTCTGTACATCAGTGGTGCTGTGTTGCTGTAAGACGTTGGCTTGAGCATAGAAAGTGTTCCAGGTACCCTTAACTGGATTATCATAGAATCATAGAATAGTTAGGGTTGGAAAGGACCTTAAGATCATCTAGTTCCAACCCCCCTGCCATGAGCAGGGACACCACACACTAAACCATGTTGCCCAAGGCTCTGTCCAGCCTGGCCTTGAACACCTCCAGAGTTGGAGCATTCACAACTTCCTTGGGCAACCTATTCCAGTGCCTCACCACCCTCACTGTGAAGAACTTCTTCCTTATATCTAACCTAAAGTTCCCCTGTTTAAGTTTAAACCCATTACCCCTTGTCCTACCACTACAGTCCCTAACAAAGAGTCCCTCCCCAGCATCCTTGTAGGCCCCCTTCAGATATTGGAAGGCTGCTATAAGGTCTCCATGCAGCTTCTCTTCTCCAGGCTGAACAGCCCCAACTTTCTCAGCCTGTCTTCATACAGGAGCTGCTCCAGTCCTCTTATCATCCTCGTGGCCTCCTCTGGACTTGCTCCAACAGCTCCATGTCCCTTTTATGTTGAGGACACCAGAACTGGACACAATACTCCAAGTGAGGTCTCACAAGAGCAGAGTAGAGGGGCAGGATCACCTCCTTTGACCTGCTGGTCATGCTGCTTTTGATACAGCCCAGGATATGGTTGGTTTCTGGGCTGCAAGCGCACACTGCCTGGTCATGTCGAGTTTCTCATCAATCACCACCCCCAAGTCCTTCTCCGAAATTAATTAATGAGACCTCTTTACATGCACCCTGGTTTAAGATCTGAGGGTGAGTGTCTTGCTCCTCTGGGATTCCTCCACGGTGGCAGCTTTGCTTGAGGACTGATGATATTTACAAGTGTAGCTAAAACTGAAGTTTCCTGTTGGCAGAGTGGGGATGAGTCATTGTGGTTTTGAGCGGAGGGGCAGGATCCTCCCTTCACTGCGGCAGGGTTTGACTTCCAGAGCAGCTCTTGGAGCAGCAGGTTCAGGTGTTTGCCGCTCTTGTCTCTGTTAATGAGAAAATGAGGTGGAGTTTGGAAGGTGTAATGCTCTGGATGGGTCTCTGCCAGGGAGACACTGTGGTGACACAGTTCAAGGCCAGGCTGGATGGGGCTTGGAGCAACCTGCTATAGTGGAAGATGTCCCTACGTGTGGCAGGGGGTTGGAACTGGATGAGCTTTAAGGTCCCTTCCAACCCAAACTAGGCTGTGATTCTATGACACTGCAGAGTTACTAGTGAGGGTCTGGCCATGGCATTCTCAATCCATCCACTCACAGCAGGATCCTTTTACAGAACTGCATGTTTTTTGTACCAGTGCCTATTGTCATTGGCATTAGCTGTGTGTTCCCTTTGCTCACCACACACGGCGTCTTTCTGTCTGCATCCAGGGGAGGAGGAAGGCTCTGGATGTTACCAGCTG